AATGGCCACCATGGTCACCACCCATCTTGAGGAGTTTGCCCCCTCACATATACTAATGTGCCACAAACAGGACTTTAATATCACCAACCATTCATTCCTATTTTATTACGGTGTATCCATATAAATGTCCCACCCTGTAGATCTGACACCCAAGAGTGGTATTGCAACATTTCCAGTGAAGTGACCAGTGAGCTCAGCGTGACAGAAACTCAAAGATAACTGACTTTAACCTTTTGGCTACATTGGGGCTGCAGACAGTACTTTCTAAGGCTTTAACTCTTTACCAATGGTTTCTGTCATATTTCAGGTCTGTTTATAGAACAAAATATAGAATTCAGTTTAAACTGTCTGGCTGCACGGTGCATGCTTGGAGCCTGCCAGACCCCCAACATTACTTTAGCAGATACAGTCGCTGCCACGCTGTCCTATTGCTTGTTATCATTTCCCGTCTAGCTTCACAGTCCATGGCATGTGTAATCATCAGTGTGTTTCTACAGCTAACCTTATAGGAAAACAGCGTGGTACCGAGGCCTTATCACTAAAAACACGCACACACTCAGACTAAAAATGATCTCATTCGCCATTCGGCTAGTCTGGCTCTGACAGCAACTGTGATACTGTGTTTGTGTGGTCTTTTGTGATCATACCGAAAGTACTGCGATAACCACAGCTGGGCCGAACTGTACACATCTCACAGGAACCAAACAGATGAGCGTGCTTTTCGTGACACGCTGTCCTGTTTTGACGCGACTGATTCTCGACGCTGAAAACCCAGCAGTAGTGGAAAGTGACGCAGGGGTGAGAAAAAGCACGGACTCATCTCCTGTTTTCTCGTCTATTCTCACTTCACAGCTTATGAGGTCAATCTTCAGCAATAAGCCATGTTTGATCCTCTTTCTGGCCACAATTGCAGTTGAGGTTAAGGTGGTGTAAGTGATGTTGAACAGAGCACGCTCATTTCCTTTTGGGTAGCATGTTGCCATAGTGAAAAATAAGGGAACAAAGTCTTAAAGCCTCAGCTGGAGAAACCAGGACATGATACAATGCTGCTGGAATCGGGGGAGTGGAGAGAGGTTGGTGTTTGGGGGCTACAAAGTATTTGAACTCATTAGATATTCATCCTGTTGTTTAGTTACTGAAAGCTGTTTGGCAATCAGCAGAAAAGCATGCATGCAGGGGAAAATAACAGAAAGTTAGATGAGATGAGAAAAAGGGCTAAGATTAGGGTGGGTGTGTTTGTTTTTTTACCTGGTCCTTTCAGTGGATAGTCCTTCCAGTGATCTTTGAGTACAACATGCAGCACAGGATATTCAATCAGTGTTTTGTAGCTCAGGTTATCCCTCAGGTTTTTCTCAATGTCCAACTCATGATACCTATTTTAAATCAAATGAAAGCACAAAAGAGACCAAACGAGTGTTTATAACAAAGAGATGTAATGCAAAAATAAAGTCAGATCACTACTGTTGGACCTCCTAAACTGGCAACTGCAGCTCTTTATTTCTCTTGTCGCCTGTGGCACAGTGACGGCTGACAATCATTAAAGGATTGATAGAGATTTGAGTCATGGCTTGGCAGAAAAACGAGATCCTGCTCAGTGCCTGTCTCATGGGATGGAAACTGACTTTGGTTGAGAGTCGACGACATCTCTCAAGCACAGCTTTCTTACCGCTCCTTTAACTGTTTGCACTTGATGACATCAGCCTAGCTTTGTCTTAAAGTAGACCTGTGGCGCATTAGAGATGGTCATAAATCACCGATCTGAATAGTTGACTGGATTGGAGACATGGGCTTGCAACACAGAGCCAGCTTAGGTTGCTGTCACCAAAACACAAGACATCACATGCGTACTGTCAAACCGTAACTGACTTAAGCCATTGTTTGTTTTGGAAAAATCACATGAAAATTAGATCCACCCAGGTATCCACCCACTACGCGCACCAATCAAAACACTCTGCTATAATGTGACATTTACAGGTCATTAATGGAGATTATAATTATTATTATTATTATTATTATAATAACACATTATTTTACATATTAACAGCCACAGCACATTTTTTCCTGAAGTAAAACAAAGTGACATATCAGATCAAAAGGAGAATCCAGAGAAAAGCCACAATGTGCAAGAAAGTAGCAAACTTACAATGATTGCATCCACTTTGATGAGCACACCAAATATCTACTGTTTCCATGTCATCCATTTTTATGTCTTACTGATAAAGAGGTTACTCTTAACGGATGTTTTTTTACATTTTTTTTTGGGGGGGGGCTAAATTAAAACATACATGTTGGTAAACAACCATTTAAGAGGGTTAGCTGGCAAACAGAGAGAGTGGCTGCCTGTGGTTATGAATCCTGGATATTCCTGAAGATCAAGACCAGGTGCCTCAGCCAAGAGCGTGCACACATCTGGTCTCTATATAATGTTCTTGTGAATGAACAGAGGACACACTGATGTTCTCTTCAGGGAGGTTCCCATTGTTTTCCATCTGCTGCCGAGACCCATCAGCAAAGAGACAGCCGTGTAAAATGGGAAGGACATAGAGAAACTGCAAATATGACCATTGAATACATACACCAATCAGCCACAACATTAAAACCAACAACAGATGAGTCAAGCAACACCGACCACTCCGTCACACCGCAAATCTCCAGCTGGAAACCTTCAGGCCTGGTATTCATGTGGATTTGAACTCTGGGAAACACACCGAACACCCAAAAGTTGTTGCCTTACCTGGCAGAACAACACAACAAAATAAACTGGAGAAAGTCTTTAGGAACATGACAAAGAGCTCAAGGCATTGCAAGACCACGTGCAAGATTGAGCTGTTTTGGGGATGGACGGCCATCGCAATATGAAACTGGAGGTTTTAAATGGGAACGATTTCTGTATTGTGATGTTGAAAACTATTAGATTAAGATATAAATCTATTGCAAACATACAATTACACAAGTCCAATTGCACAAGTGTTGTACAGAATAACACTGCTGTTAATTGTTAAGAAAATCTTATTGTTTGAACTGATATTGACACACAGGGTGCGGCTGGCTGCAGAAGGTTTCCGGGATTCCTCCAAAAAATTTTGACCTCAGTTATTTTTCCTCACGCAATGACAATGTCCCCTTTCATTTTTGTTAACTGCTAAAAAGTAGGCACTCAGAAATGTGAATGCAAGTAAAAGTTGCAGCTGTTCCACCACATGGCTGATTTGACCTAAAAATAACCTATGGAAATGGTATCAATACTCTTAATAAAATACAGAATGCGTCATCAGATCAGACATGGAAACCAAACTATGTTGAAATCACACAACAGATCAGCACAAGCCGAACTCCATCAACTCCACCTCTGATGGTAAATCTCTTATCTTAGAGATGAATGATTTTTTACCCCCAATGGTTTCCCGGAAATACACTGCTAAAAAATAAATAACTCAAAAATAGGACTCAGTAAAAAAAAAAAAAATATAGCAAGTACGTTGTATATTTTAAGACACCTGATCTCCATATTCCACTTTAAGTGCTCTACAATTTATACAAATGGGATTCTGTAATTTTAAGGAAGCAGTGAAATGACATCATTTAAACATAGACACAAAAATAAGCCTAGAAGTCAGTCACTTTCCAAAATTCAGAAGCACTACACGTTGCCAACAGCTCCACATTTTCTCCTGCACCAAAGGACTCAGCGTGCTGCACCTGTCCTTCTCGTCCTGCTTCGGTTCACTTCATCATCATATTTTGTGTCACAATTTAATTGTTTAATTGTTTGTGTGTAACAAGGTTTGTGGCCTTGCCACATTTGTCACACACCGCATCTTGGCTGTTTGTGACTCTGCCTATGATCCTCAACTGAGTGAGTGCGCCCACTGATGCATTTATACAGTCATATTTTTTATATCACTATGACAGGCGGAAGAAGTAGTTCCTACCAATCATTAAGACAATTTCAATAATATAGTTACTTTCCATTGTGTTCCTGTTAATCATGAACTATAAGTTTACCTGAAATCACTAAAATATCAATATTTCAATATGACATTTGATTCTAGAACATACATTTCTGTCACTGCAAGAATCAATATTTCAGTAGCAATGTGCACAACACTACTACCTGCATATTCTCACAACATGAGATAGGGAAGTATCGTGCACCAGGAAGAACCCAGGACCCACCGCACCAGCATAGGGTCTGAAAATGGGTCCAGGGATTTCAAGGACAAAAGAGTGGAGACGAGACCTGTGCTGGGAGACAGCAAATCTTCTGGCAAAGGCACGTGTTAATGTGCCATCCTGGAGGATTTGGACTGCCTGTACAACCTCTGTAGGGTCTTGCCTCATGCTAACAATAGTGACATTGACTTTAGCCAAATGCAAAACCAGTGGGGTAAAAAAAGAGAAAGAAGTGAAAAAAAAGTTAGTGACCTCCATCTGTAAACTAAGATGTGCAAATCAGGCTCTTTCTTTTTGGGCTATAACACCAAAACACAATTTTAAAAAGCTGTTTTAATGGCTTTTTTGTAATGTTGCTTTGGCATAAAAAAAGACAAACATATAATTCATATTTTGCCTACATATTCACATTCATAATTAGATTGTCAGAACTGCATAAAGTCTTATGGCTGTTAACTCTGACTAATAGCTCTACCTTGATGTCCACATTCAGTACAGGTCAGCCAGTCTCCTAGGCAACCACCCCTGTCCACACTTTATACACTTAATTGCACCTTTATTCCTTAATTTCAGGGTGTAACTACTCTTTAAGCCAGGTTTGGAAAAGTTTGCACTACAGAGGTTCAGTTTAAAAAGTAACACAAAACGGTTTCAGTGCAGACATTCAAGCACCATGTGTCTGCCCATGTTGTCCCAAACAAAAAATACAGCAGATTTTACCAAAAGTGACAACTGAAGACAGTCAAACAGTGCTTTTTAACAAACACTATTTCACACTATGTGTTTGTGTAAAAGCTGAAGTCACTTGAAAGATGAAAAATGTCATTATTACCCAATGAATACCTTATAAATGCCTTGCTGTTCAGCAACCAGCAGGAGACCTGAGGTAAGCATCTGCTGTGCAGAAACATACTTGAACATAGCATTAGGGCAAGCCGAGGGAGAGCAGATAGAAAAGCTCCAGGGGACTAAGGAAAGCACTAGCCACAAATATGTGAGGAAAAGAAAAGCTTCAACAGGACAGGAACATCACTGCCTTAAGGCAACAGCACAACACTAGTTAAAAAAAAAACAAAACAAAACTAAAAAACCCAGAAAGCAGAAAAACACGGTTCGCTTTGTAAAAAGAGCATCTCCATTTTAGACATCAAGGATGCAACCCTGGATCTGGCAGACTGAGAGGAAAGGCAGTGGTAAGGGAAAAGAGGAGAGGGCATCCCCAGGATCACACGGGAGGAATGACTAAAAAAAAATCAACACACAAAAAAAAAAAAACATAAACAAACATCAGAAATGTGTGAATGGTTCCCTTGATGCACATGCTCACCTTTCCAGTAAGAGGATGTGGGCTATACAAGCGCCACTTATTCTAGCACAAGAACTCCTTTATTGGAGGTGGTTGATATTCCAGTAGACAACAAAAAACACGCAGTCATACCTTTTGTGTTAGACGTGGCAAATGACCACTAAGAAGCCATGACTACTTCTATCCATGACTTCATAACATTAATAACACTGTAAAATTAGGGGTTCTCCACCAAGTCTGCATTATTTAGAAAGTAGTGGCTTATTTGTGGTTGAAATAATCCGACCGGATTTGGAAACTCTTAAACAAGATACAAGCGCAGATAGGGCCTCTCTTCTCATTAAAGTAGAACCTGCTGACACAAGACTGAGATGCAAAACTGTACATAGTTAATAAGATAATTACCCTAAAAGATATAGAATTTTCCCCTCTTCTATTCATTTAGAATTCTTTTAGATTCAAAACT